TTATAAAGGTATCTACTTCTTTTATAACTTCTTTTATCCTTCTAAAGATATTTTCTTTAAACTAAGACCTTTTTAGAAAAGCCTATAACTTTAGGTATTAGTTATAATCTTTATAACTTTAATAAGTCTTTCTAGAGCTTAAATATATCCTTATTTTCTAGAGATATAATACGTAGGGCTTTAACTTATAGTACTTTCCTTTTCTACTTCTTTTTAAAAGCTTAGTAAATATAGGAATAACCTATACTACTAGAATCTTTAAAGTAGTTAGACTACTAACTTGGGCTTATAATCTATTAAGCTAAGACTACTCTATAGGGTTTATATAGGTATTGAATATAGTAGAAGTAACTAAATTAATAAATAATAGTAGGAACTAACCTAGTTATAATTATATTAGTTATAAAAAGTAAAAAACCTAAAGTAAAATAAGCTTTTCTCGATTATATAACTTTTAGTATTTATACTTTAAGTATCTATTTTAGCCTATCTATTTAGACTATACTATTTAATACTTATAGAATATATATAGAGAAAAGCTTTAGTATATAATAAAAGATCTTTTAAGTATAATCTAAAGAAGTAGGTCTATACTTTTAAATATTAACTTTAAATATATTTTATATAATAATAAGCGACTAGATATACTTTATTTATATATAGAATAGATAACTCGATATAGGCTATAAAATATACTATTTTTTTAAAAAAAAATTAAAATATATTTCTAACTTCTAATTTCGAAACTATATATAGAATAGTAGTAAGTTAGACGATAATAGAGATTTAGAATAAAGTAGTATTTTAGAAGAAAGAAGTAATTCTAAAGAAAGTAGCGCTTAGTACTCCGCTTTAAACTCTAACGCCTCTAGTAATACTTTTTAACTATTTCTACTTTTTTCTCTTTCTTTTTTTTTTCTTTTTAATCTATTTTATAAGTAACTACGTATTTTATACTTTCTACGTTTTCGCTTTTTAAACCTCTATCTACTACTACTCTACTTTAATATTTAATACTAAAAACTACTTAAGTTTTACTAACCTCGATATTAGTAGATTAGTTCTTAAATAGAAAGCTAGTAAGTATTTTAGAAGAATTAGAGCTTAGAAATAAAATAGTAATAGGTCGATTATAAGTCTAAGTTAGTAGTAGCTTAAAGTATTAAAAGCGATAAAAGAGGTAAAAGTAGGGATTATAGTAATTAAGTAAAAGAAGTTATACTAGTATAAATACGGTAGCGCCTCTCTATCTTTTCTTCTAGCCTAGGGCAAATATCGGCCTTAAGTTACTTTAGACATTTAGGAGAAGATAAAAAGATAACATTGTAATAAGCGCTATCTTGTAACATAGGCAAAAACAAAACTAGCCAAGTGCCACCGCACTGACAGTGCCGTTGTCAGCGCTGAGAAGGCCGCCAGCGAAACGCAAGTCAGCTCTCAATGGGTCGGGAATGAAGTGTGGATTTAATATCCCACTACAACCGTGGTGAACCCGTCTCACCTCCTCCAACAACATTGCCCGTAAAGGAGGTCGGCAGCTCGGCCCACTCGTTCATGGCCATTGACTTTGTGAGTGGTCTCAAGGTTTTCCTGATCCACGTCAGAAAAGCCTTCTCAGTCATTGAAGATATACTAACATAACTATAGCGAATTTGCTGGAGCGCATGTGCGCTTCGACAGACGCTACATCCGCGTACCTCTCAAAGAGGAGGATCTCCCCAGGGGCTTTGGGCCGAGTGAAGACGCAATACGTCAAACACCCCGGCTCTTCTCGTTCCACCCATTCTGAAAAAGATCTATCGTAGCTGTCAACGCCGCCCGTAACAATCGTCTGGAGATGACATACCGCAAAATTACAAGGGCGCTATCTTTCGCGGCGTCATCTTCTTTCACAGTGATCAATCCTGTAATAACGACTGCCCCCGGACCTGCGACCGCGCCTCGTGCTAGGAACCCGACCGTGGGATACCAAGCATGCATATCTTCGGGCTGTGCGTATAGCCCTTCGTCGGTGGCCGTCCTGTGGTAACGCTTGAACTCGGGATGATTCAGTTGACGAGACAGAGCCGGCTTGCAAGCGTAGACTTCGAACCCGGCGATTACGTGTTCGGGGTGCGCGCATTCAAGCGCATCTACGATCTGGTTCCTCGCCCCGGGTCGAGTGGCCCGAGTGAAGTAACACCATGTTTTGGTTTCCGAGGCGGGGTCGCGGTAGTCGTAGCAGGTCTCGAGGAGGTGGATGATCTGGATATTCGTGAGATGCGGCACGGCAGAGTGGTATGTGAAGCCTCGTCATTTAGGGGAGTTTGTGGTTCGAGAACTCACCCTTTTCTGCTTTTCCGGGGACCCGGGATATAAGTAGCAGAATAGAGATATGTCGGGCTTTGCGAGCATCGTTCGTAAATCAGCGATCACAATGGAATAGCTGTGTAAAAGTGAAAGGGACTACCTGCTTGCATCTCGACCGTCGGCTGACTGTGGCCTGTATTGATGAAGGGACGTGATATTTCCGAGATTCGCGAGGTGGCCGAGAACTCCAGACATTTGCTAATTCCGCCAGCCCCACTACATTCCCTGGCCAAAATACTGCATATCCTCTTCAGACCCATATACTGACTGCATGCCTTCTTCAAGTGCGGTGGGAATCAGCTGCCATCCGAAGTTCCTCCGATCCTCGACAAGTCTTTGCGTGCGATATGGCGATCCCCAAAGCGCAGTACGTTAGTGATGTGTGGAAAGACGGCTTGTTTGGTATGTACTTGTCGATGACCGCGTGCTAGACTCTGAATGAACACGTCACTAACACTGGCGATGGCCAGCGTCGAAAGTCGTCTTCTGCACCGGTGGCTCGGGAAGCATTTGCAGCGCCCAAGTCCGAGCACTGGTGCATCTGGGAGCCGATGCATGCATCGTAGGACGCAACCCCAAGAAAGCGGAAGAAAAGGCCCAAAGCATCGCGACGGCGCGACCTGGCGCCCGAGTGCTAGGGATAGGCAACGTCGACGTCCGCCACGTCGACAGCCTCCACTCCGCCGTCGCCACCTGCGTGAAAGAGCTGAGGCGGATTGACTTTGTCATTGCTGGTGCCGCCGGGAACTTCCTCGCCCCCATACGGTCGTTGTCGGCGAATGCCTTCAAGGCTGTCATCGACATCGATCTGCTCGGGTCGTACAACACGGTCAAGGCGACGCTGCCACACCTCATCGCCTCGTCAAAAGAAGGCGCCGGCGGTGGAAGGTTCGTCTTCGTCAGCGCCAATATGTTTCAGACCGGCTTGGTGCTGCAGACTCATGTCGGCGCCGCCAAGTCGGCTGTCAATGCGCTGTCGAACAATATGGCTATCGAGCTGGGTCCCCTGGGTATCACTTCAAACGTGATCGCGCCAGGCCCGATTGGAGATACTGTGAGTTGGTTAAGAGACTTCTCTCACGCCTGCTTGCGGCCCTGACCACGTGCCACAGGAAGGGATGGATAGACTCACACCTGCGAGCGATGCCAACACAGCTTCCGCTACCAAGATTCCTCTGGGAAGAATGGGCAGTGTGAGAGACATTGCGGATGCGACCGTCTACCTATTTTCTGATGCGGCCAACTACGTCAACGGAGACGTTCTTATTGGTGAGTTGAAGAAGAATGGAAACGGACCTGGTCCGCCTGTGCTGACTTCGTTTCCGTACAGTTGATGGGGGAGCCTGGCGCACCGGCGGAGGCGCTCCAGGCCATACTGTGCCTTATCCCGACTTTCTGCTCTCTAGCGATGAAGTAAGCGCAGCGAAGGTGGAGGGACGGAAGGGTAAATTGTGAATGGCTTGATGGTGGGGTGAGGAATGCTGTCGAGTGGGTTGTTGCGGTGTACAAGTAGTAGTACAAGAAAGATTAGTTGACCCGAAACTGCATTTGTTCCGGCAGCCGCGGTCTCATTACACACATAGATACCCATGCATTCTGGAGGTGATCGTTGCGTAACGAGGGAAATACATTCTGATCTTGGCGAACGAAAAGGATGAGCCTTACCAGCGTTCATAGGTTTACGGTGACAAAGAAAAAGAGAATACTCGCTGCTACTGCACCAATACTTGCAAACTATCTGCAAAAGAACATTTCAAAGTTTTGTCTGTACAGCACAACGTCCTACTGTCCCTCTGCTCCTCAACTCCCGTCTGAGGATTTTACCAGACGGATTCCTCGGAATTGCCTCGATGAACTCAATCCCGCCACGCAACCACTTATGTCGCGCTACCCTGTCTTCAACGAAGGCGCGAATATGCTTCCTTGCTTCATTCTTCTTCTTCCTTCCCGAACTCGAGAGGACTATGAAAGCCTTCGGATATTCTCCCGCACGATCGTCAGGAGTGCCTATCACTGCAGCATCATTTACGTCGGGATGAGCGAGTAGCAGAGCTTCCAGTTCGGCGGGCGCTACTTGCAATCCCTGGACCATAGTCAGTCTCAACAAAGTCCCAGTAGGGTCGTTTGCATCGAACAAACCTTGACTTTGATCAATTCCTTCAGACGGTCTACTATCCACATGTGCTGTCGCCCGCTCGAGGAAGTGCTGAACACGGCGATATCGCCTGTGCGGAGCCATCTTCGACCATCTCGAAAGACAAAACTCTCGTTCGTGGCCTTTCTGTTGTTGTGATATCCCAGAGTGACACTTGGCGAAGACACCAAGAGCTCACCGGGCTCATTGTTGCCCGTGACGACTTTGCCTCCATCGTCCACCAGACGGCACGTCGTCCCTGGAATGGGCACTCCCGCGCTCCCATGGCAGATGTCGTCTTCCAGAGTCCAGGTGACGACTGTTGCAGTCTCTGTGAGCCCGTATCCTTGGCAAAGTCGCCAGCTGGGATGAATCTTGATCAGGTCGTCTGCGAGGCCTTTACCCAGGGGCGCAGCACCGGTGACGACCTTTCTGACACTTTTCAGGTCATATTCTCTAACCTCGGCGTTTTGCTGCGTCAAGTCGCTGATTATCGGAGGCACCAGGTAAATTGTGTTGATCCGGAACTGCTCAATGGAGGCCACCATAGACTGGAAACTGTATTTCGGCAGCACAATGACGGAATCACCTCGATATGCTCCGGCGTGGCAGATGATGACTAGAGCGTAAATGTGACTTTGCGGCATGAGACCCAGCCCAACGTCCCTGTGCTGTGGCCCAAGGGCTTCTCGACCAGTGGCCTCTGCCGCGGCGAGTTGCAGGACGTTGGCAATGACGTTGTAATGCGACACACGCACTCCTTTCTGCTCTAGGGTCAGCCTCTATCGATTTGCTACATTCGGGCTTCCTCGCCCATCACACGCACCGGCAATCCAGAGGTTCCGCTCGAGTAGCATAGGAACGCGGTCTGGCGCTGGCCTTGGTCGACGTCCCAGCGCAGAGAAGGAAGCGTCGAGCGCAGTTCTCCGTCGTGCACCAGCTCTTCGAGTGTCGAGAACCCTGAATCCGAAGATATGTCGCCGGTGAATCGGACTGGCAGATCGATGACGAAAATATTTGCAGCATCAATACCAGCCATTGCAGCCGCTTCGCGGGCGTTCTGTAGAAGCGGAAGACAAGTGAAGATTGCTGTTGCTCCCGAGTCGTTGAGCTGATGAGCCAGCTCAGGGATTGCGTAAGACGCATTCGCGGGACTGGACACACCGTTAAGCATGTGCACAGCCCAGTGCAATGTCATTACATCGATCTGTCCACCAGCTCCTGTTAGTGTATAGATGTGTCAGTCTAGCACAGACATCCTGCCCACCGTATTGTAAGTGTACGAGACCACAACTTTCTCATATTCTGACCCTTCGTTGGGGTCCCATCGTAGCCTCGCAGCGAGAGCTCGCGCCAATCGGTCAGTCCGCTGCTTTTGCTCCAAGGCTGAGAAAGAGCGGCTGCTCAACCCGCAGACAAAGGGAGGTAGGGAGTTGCACAGAGGTTGTCGTCCATAGCATTCGTTGAGCATGAAAGTGCATAATGGAACTGAGGTAAGCTCTTCGGGGATGGTGAACTCCCTCGCTACAGGTGAGGTAAAAGTCATGATGGCCGTGACGGTGCTCCCAGTGTCCAGCTCTAGGTCAACAACTCAATTAAGCATCTGTTGTTACATGTGGCACTATTGTGAGGAGACAGCTACGTTCCATGGCAACTTCATGCCCTACGAAGAGGCTCTCCGTCCATGGAAATCTTCGGAGCTCGGAAAGATGTACGCTGCCGCTGACGAGTCGATAGTTGTGAAAGAAAAGCTTCGCAGATGTCGGGCTGACGGTTGTCGGCGTGACGACCCTTCCGTTTCGAACTGCGATCAATATTCAATTCCACCATATGCATAATCTCCTCTAATAGTGAAACAGTAGAACGCGTCCTTGGTACTTGAATGCAAAAGACAACATTGCGCTTGCCCAACCAGGTCGACAACTTCCAAGCCATGGCACTCGACACCTTCTACAATGTGGTGAACGGCCAGAAGCGACAGTCCACCAAAATGGCACAAAGCATTGACCCCACTGATCGCCGGAGCCTTTGGCCAGTTCCAGTGGCATCCGATCAAGACCTCGAAGATGCAGTAGCGGCTGCAAAACAAGCATTTCGAAACTGGTCCAAAACCCCCGTGGAGCACCGGAAACAGTTGCTGTCTACCTTCGAAGAAAAGTTGCTGGCGTCCAAAAATGATTTGACACAGTTGTTGATGCAAGAGGGAGGAAAACCACACGCACTTGCTGCATTCGAGTTGAACTACGCCCCTTTGCTATTCAAACACCACCGGGATCTCGACATCAATGAACAGAGCGAGGACCTGACCGATCGGTCCATCGTCACCAGGCATGTCCCACTCGGAGTCGTTGCGGCCATCTGTCCCTGGAACTTCCCTTTGGTCCTCTCCATTGGAAAAATCATCCCGGCGCTGCTGACGGGCTGCTGTGTCATCGTCAAGCCGTCACCGTTCGCTCCATATGCCATCTTGAAGATGATTGAACTCTTGCATGGCATATTCCCTCCCGGAGTGTTGCAGGTCCTGAATGGGGATGATGCGCTGGGGCCCGCCCTGGTTGCCCACAAAGACGTTCCGAAAATCTCGTTCACGGGTTCTATCCAAACGGGCAAGAAGATTGTGGAAAAGTCAGCACTCTCATTGAAGAGGCTCACGCTGGAACTGTACGTCCGCACTTGGGTCGCCAAGATTGATATAAACTAACGCTTTGACCTGCAGTGGTGGCAACGATGCAGCAATTGTTCTGCCGGACGTTGATATAGCCAGAGTGGCGAAACAGGTGATTTCAGGCGCACTGATCAACTCGGGCCAAATGTGCCTCGCCACTAAGCGTGTGTACATCCACGACTCCATATACGAAACATTCGTGGAGGCCATGGTGAAAGCGATGGACGAACTCATTGTGGGCTCTCCAGATTCTGAAAGCAGCACGCATGGACCGATCCAGAACCCACTACAGTTTGTCAGAGTATCGGATCTCCTCGAAGACTGTGAGAAAAGGGGGTACAGCATCAAAATTGGCAGAGCGATGGCGGACGAGCTACGCAAGGGACTCTTTGTCCAGCCAACACTCGTCGACAATCCACCAGAGACATCCCGCGTCGTGCAAGAGGAGGCTTTTGGGCCAGTCTTCCCCACCCTGAAGTGGGACAACGAGCAAGATGTGATTCGGCGAGTCAATGCAATGGATACTGGTCTTGGTGCATCGATATGGAGCTCGGACATCGAGAAGGCAGGCGAGATGGCACGGCAGTTGGAGGTGGGCAGCATCTGGATCAACACTACGGAGCTTCCCATTCCCCAGGCGATGTTCGGCGGACACAAACAGAGCGGAATAGGAGGCGAGTGGGGCAAGGACGGATGGAAGGCTTTCTGCAATGTACAGATCATTCATACCATGAAAAGCCGAGACACCAAGTTGTGAGGTCTGGCATATGAGGCGGTGAATAGCAACGGGGGATAAGACGACACGTCAAAGCAGCTGGAAAGATGCAAACATACATGATGAATGTGTTGTTCTTGTTTCCCAATCTCATCAAGTTGATCGTTTCCGTTGTGCAGCGTCAGGCTGCCCACGAGCAGTGTGATGAACATTCCTCTGTATTGATCGGTTGATCTGCTCAACCTGGCTGTATAGCAGGAGCATCGATTAATCGATTCGTCAAGGCTGCATGGCACAATCTGGATTGAGGCCCGTGCTCTGCCGCCAAGCATCATGTCAGTTGCCCCATTAGGAAGTCTTCGACAATGTCAGGCTGTGCAACTACTACCGAGCAGCCGAGGTTCCGAGAGCCGCCACCCGCCTCCTCTTCAGCCTCTCTGCGAATTCCGACTTCTCCTCTGTCCCCTTCCCCCGACACAACAATGGACCACATGCAGCAGCATGCGGATACGGTTCTCGATTTGTACAAAGGACTGCGGACCTCACGTGCATGCTATCCCTGTGCCAAGCGCAAGATCCGCTGCGAAGGTCGGGTCCCCCACGGCAGCACCACCTGTGGGAGTAATTATTGCTGACGTTAGTGCTTTCGATACTCAGGCAACCAGCCGTGCACTACGTGCTCGCAGCGAGGCCACCCGGACATTTGCTTCTTTCCCGAGAGCAGACATGGGAGGCGCATCGCTGCCGCGAGCCGAAAGCGCAGAGCCTCGTTGCGGACGAAATCTCCAGCGGCCGAGCGTCGTGTCCTCCCGGCTGCAAGCGACGCTGCTAGTATTGAAGAGCCGAGCAACGCCCCTCCGCCACTCGCGCCTGCATCTTTGCCATCTCAGGACCAGCAAAGACCGCTTCTAGAGCAACATCCACACAATGTGGCACAGGAGGCTCGCTCCAGCTGTGACACCCAAATGGGCAGGCTCTCGCTGGCAGCACTCGTGCACGAGAAGCTAAGCCCACAGAACCTTGGCGTGTCCCAGGATGTTCGATCCAGCCTTGGCCTTGAGAACTTGATCCAGAACGAGTCGTTCCTCCGGACATTTGGCGCTCGGGACAGCGCAGAGGGCTTGCTTCAGTCATGTCCTAGACGCGACGAGGCTCGACAGTATGAACACTTACGATGCATCTGTACCAGCGTTGTTGACAACCCCTAGGCTCTTCCCACTCTTTCGCACCCATGTCGCGCCTTTCTATCCGATTGTGGACGATGTTGACGCACTGGAGATGCGTCTGCTCACCAAGATGGACGACTATGAAAGGATAACAGTTCGAGACTCTGCACAGCTCCATGCCTTCCTCGCTCAATCATCGCCGGACTTGGCCCTGTTCTTGAGTGTCTTTGCTCTGGGCGCCCAGTTCTCTCACCTGCCGAGTATTGAACGCACTCGACAGGGGCAGGAACTCGGTAAGTCAAGTTCCATACAATCTTACCACGTTCGGTACATATTTACAAGTTGGTTGCAGTGCAGCGATCAGAGTCATTTTTGCGCCTTTCAAATTACATGGCGAAGCCGTGCATCGAGACCGTACAGACACTACTGTGCGTTGGACTGCACATGCAGAACTTTGGACAGTCAGATGCGGCGTGGTGTCTCCATGGTCTGACTTTTCGCTTTGCGCAAGCACTGGGTCTACAAAGCGACAGCACTGGCCAGGAGCATCCATTGTGGTAAGCTGGAAGCCGTCATATAGCCCTGCTCTTTTGAACGGTAACGTGGGAGCTGATGCGTGATAGGAACGCCATTCTCTGGCAAGACTGCCTGCTATCGCTTCGGTTTGACCGGCTACCGATGAGTCCCGGACGTGCACCGCCACTATCCCATCCAGTAACATCGAAACGACAAGAGGCCACATCTTATATCAACTCCATGCTATGTGTGAATTCTGTTTGTCTTGTCTTCCTGTCAAGCACGGAGCAAGAACGTGCCCGGGCCAGCGCAGCGACAGCGCGAATCGCCAGCATCGACAAAATGCTCACCAAGTCAGCCCCCCATCTTCGGAGGGAGACATCTTGTACATCAGTGCAGCAGCGGCTGGAGTGTCTGGCGTTGAGAATGCACTCATCATTCCTGTGCGCAGAGCTGTGTCGACCGTTCCTGGCGCAGGCCACCGTCGACAGCGAGTCGACGACGCTCTATGACCGCTGCCTGGAGAGCATGCAGACTACCGTTCAGGCCTATCTCGACATGTCCAAGATGAGTATTCTGCCTTCCCGCTCCTGGTCGCTCACGCACGAGGCCTTGACTTGCGCGTGCGTCCTCGCGCTCCTACAGCCCGCTCCCAACAACGCTCAAGTCCACAACATATTAAATAATATGCAACAAGTACTCGAGGAAGACTTCCACTACGATGACGGAGAAGCTCATTTTGGCAACGACCGGACGTTTCGCCGTGGTGCAAAACTGCTCAGCTTTTTGCGGAAGCCCTCATCAGACATACCCGAGGCAGGCACTTCGTTCCAGCAGCGCGGTCCTCCTGGGGTGGAGGGTGGTGCAACTATGCTTGGGTGTGAGCAAGATCGTCCAGGGCCAGCCATAGGTCTAAATGGTCCTTCGTCAAATTTCGCGTCGCCCCCGACTCCTCTGGCATCTGACTTCAACCAGACCTTGCTCGCGTCTCCTTTCGGAGAGACGGGGCTTGATTTCCCCCTTTCGTCGTTTTTAGATTTCTCGACGGATTTCATGGCATGAGCTGTACTTTATATTTAGAGGCGTCCTGGGCTGGAGGGAAGTCCGCTGTACCAGCAATTACACCTCTCTCGAACAAGCAAAGGGGAAACGGTCTCGTGTAGCCTCAGGTTCAATGTTTTGGCTTCGTGTTATTCCCAAATTTCACATTAGAGTTTATGCACCTTCTCTTTACTTGCAATCTTTCTAAACTCCTCTTGCGGAATGCCCCTCATAAACATCTCCAATCCTTGGAAAACCTCCTTCGCCCCTTGAGCATCGTATAGATCCTTATCAGGGCCTCTGATGAGCCCTTTCGTTTTGATGAGAGCATCCGGCTTTAGGTGCGCTCCCAATCTCTCATCTATCTCGTGCAGCACCGACTCCAAAAAGTCCCGTGTGCCCTGCCGTCCTGCCTCAAAAACTTTATTAACGAACCCACATCCTACTAACTCCTCGCATGTAATCCTCTTGCTCATCAGCAGCGCCTCCATTCCCCTCGCAGGCCCCAGCCGATTGATTAGGGCGCGAGAGGAGAGACCTTCGGGTAGCAGACCGAGGGACGTAAAGGGACAGAGGAGGTAGGTGTGCGTGGCGGCGTAGACAAAGTCGCTATGGCCGATGAGCGCGGCGGCGATGCCCACGACTGGCCCATTGAGAGCGGAGACAAGGATTTTACGGTGTGAATAGAAGGCCTGGGTGATGTTGAGGTTGTGTGCGGCAAAGGATTCGAGCCATTTGGAGTACTCTTGTTCTTTAGGGGCATTGTCGCTACTGGCAGCGAAGACATCGGCGCCGCTTTCAAATTGGTCAGACAGGCCTGGCACGTCGTTGGCACTTTTGGGGAACGTACGCGCTGAAGAATCTCCCCGTTCCGGTCAACACTCAAAGATGGTCAGCTTTGTACTCAAGATGAGGCGTCCTGAGATCTCCGATTTACTGGTGATGTAGATATCTCTTCGGCCGTCGACGTGTCTCATGAGCTGCGAGAGGTGGAAATACGATTCACGAGTCAAAGCGCCCAGCTTCTTGGGTTGATTTATCGTAATGATGGCGACTCGACCTCGTACTTCGAACTTGACTTCGTCTATCGGCTTGGGTGGAGTGTCCATGGTTGTTTCCTGAGTTGTCAATATTTCGAGAATATGTATCTTGCAAATGCTGCACCGGCCGAAGGAAAGAAGGCAAAAAGGTTCTTATAATCGCCATTGGAGCCCACACTTCCTGCATTGAACCTGTTCAACCCGAGGCGGATGTCGGGACTCGGAGTCAACGTCAGGACGAACAGAGATCGATGACATGGCTATAGTATTCGTACTCCAGCACCCGAACTTCTCCTTGATCGCTAGAAAGCATATTCCGCCTTCCATTTCCTCATGCAGAGCACAATTATGAAATGTAAAGGCTGTACATTGGCATTGCGAATTGCCTAGAGTTGGGTACACCTACAAGGGAAGGCTCCCTTGATATATGCAATAACGTTAAGCCTTTCGAATCAGATGCCACCCAGTGACATATAGTCTTGCAACCAGCACCGAGGCTGATGCTATCGCTAGCATACTTCCAGCAAAAACCTGCAGACCCAGCCAATGTCCCGTCTTCTGCAAGATAGTAGCTGCCACTGGCGGACCTAACAACAAGTCGGAGCTAGCTACCGTCATAGACAACCCTGTCAATATGTCAGCCTCGTCTTGCAGAGTTATCAATGTGGACTAGATATACCTTGACGAGCCCCCATTATAGCCGGGTCGGGGCACAGTGTTGCGATGACAAAATTCGGGAGGGACAGCATCGTTCCCACAAAGAGCCCGTACAGGCTGGCAAAGACAAAACACCCGGCGACAGAAGAACAAGCGATCCAAGCGTAGGTGACGATACAAGCCGCTAATAACGAAGGACCCAAGACATTCAACCCTCCGAGGCGGTCAGCCACGATATTGGGAGCGACTCGTCCAATGATTGAGCAGGCATTGAGTACGGGTAAAAGATAAGAGGCCAGCTCGGCGCTCATGATCTTGTTCTGCTGGGCGTAGTCCTAGATGAAAAATGCAGGCGTGTATTACGCGGCCTGAGTGAAGCCGAACGCGATAGTGTAGATACTATATACGGGCTCTAGGTAGAGGGGTCTTAAGTCGAGTTAGATCTTTCGGCGCACCGTCGGCTTAACGCGCTAAGAGATAAGAGCTAGTAGGATTACGTTAGTTACGAGGATTATAAAAGCTAGGACCCGGATAGACTACCTAAATTTTTATACCTCGAAAACGCTCTTAGACTTTAAAGTTAGGCCTAGGTATTTCTAGGAAATAGGTACTATCTCTAGAAATAGATAGAATTTTCTCGGTTTTTAGCGCTATTCCTAGGAACAGTTAAATTTTTTAGGTTTTTAGGGCTATCTCTAGGGATAGTTAAGTATTCTAGGTTTTCGGCGCTATCTCTAGGAATAGTTAAATTTTCTAGGATTTTAGCGCTATCTCTAGGGATAGTTAAGTATTCTATATTTTCGACGCTATTTTTAGAGATAGTTAAGTATTCTAGGTTTTCGACGCTATTCCTAGAGATAGAGAATATTCCTATAAATCGAGATCGATACGAGATAGATTAACTAGTTATAGAGCGTTCCGGTCGTATTAATAATACTAGTAGATAATTTACTTATACTAGAAAAGTAAAAAGTAGAAGAAGCGTTAGGTAAAAAGCTAATCTATAGGCTCTAGTCGCTATTATAGTAGAGGGGATACGTATAAGTATATTACTAAAATTAGTAGAATAGACTTAGATTATACTATCTCTAGGGATAGCCTTTTAATTTCGGAAAATAAACTCCGCCTAACGTAGATCGCTACTTTATACTACCTACTTTCTACTATATCGCTTTTAGGATATCGCTCTCCTCCTCGCGCTTTATTATTATTTCGAGACGTAGCTTTACTATACTATCTAAAAGGCTAGCTTAATCTAGTAAAAGCTATAGTAGCGTTAGTAAAAAGGTTAGACTTATAGATAGTATACTATTAAAAACTAAGTTAATCGAAAAACGAGCCGAATCTTTTCGACTAATAACCGTACGGTTTCCTATCGACGATACTACTCCCGAATAGAGTATAAGCTATAACCGGGATATTAATAAAAAATACGCTAAATAGCTATATTAACTATTCGAGGAATATAGGCTAGACTAACTCGACTATATATACCGTCTCTACCTATTATATAGCGCGTAAGATATACGAGCTATATACTAATATCTCGATATTAATTATAGGCTAAACGACTCTAGCGTACCTCTACCGTCCTTTATAGGATAGAGTAGCGTAACCGCTAACTACGCTAAGGTATTAGTAGAAAATTATCGTATCGTAGCCTAACCTAGAGGTAGTCCTATTTTCGCCGAAAGTAATTTCCTATTTAGGTAAAGCGCTTCCTAAACAAGTAACTTTTTCTCCGAGAATATACTCCGAGAATAGAGCGAAAAGACGCTATATTATATATAGTCTATCTACGCTCGGCTCGCTATATAGTACTTTATATCCTCTACGTAGTAGTAGTACTAGTAGGTACTAACTTCGGCGCTAATCGGATCGGGATTCGGTCGGTCTCGATAGCTAGTAATTAAAGTACGACTTAAGTCCGCTAGGAACTCTATAGGTTCTATACTTTCTATCTATATATCGTCTCCTCGCGAGATATATATATCTACGAA